TCTCTTAAGACTTCGTTTAACTGGTTGTCTCATTAAGAGTTGTGAACCAGATTTTTGAGATATTCTGTTAGTCTTTGTCTATACCGCTGGCTGAGTTTGGTGTTTTTTCCTTAAAAATTATCATATTTTTTGTCGTTAGGTATCAATCGTAGCTGCTGTTTCTCGCAGTTGAATTCCCTAACTCCAGATAGGTATTAGAATATATTTATAAGTACATATACTGGAGTGCAAAATTATTGGGACACCAAGATTTTTCCTAAAAACTTTAAAAAAGTTCAAGATATTTCTAAGTGAGTATTTAATAATACATAATAGTCAAATTTATTACAAATTTAAAATTTAACAAAGAAAAAGACTAAACAATTTAAAAAGTTGAAAATCTGTAAAAAAATCTCCGCGACCCCTAATTACGGCTCTAATTCGATCAAATATACTTCGGGTTAAGGGAACAAATTCTTCCAGGGGAATTGTCTCCCATTTGTCACAATCTAATTGCTCTAAGTCATTAATGATTTGAAATTGAACATGGTTACGTCGAATAGGTTAGTGCCCTATTAGATTTAAGTCCGGACTCCTTGGGGACAGTGATAAAGAAATCTGAATTTCACCTAAGTAATCCCGTTTTATTCTTGCAATGTGCAGACGAGCATTGTCTTGCATTAGGCGAAAGTTTTCTCCAACAAATGAGGCAAGTGGCACTACATGATCTTCCAAATATTGTTCAATATATTTTTTAGCGTTTAGATCGCCCCTTAAAATTGTAACAATACCTGTAAGAGTCGCTAGGGAAATGCCTGTACACACCATTGTACTACCTTGACCAAATTGAACTCTGGGAGTAAAACAACATTGGTGATAATATTCACAAGTTCTTCTTTAAATCATAGGCCACCTATCTGATGAGTATCTGTTAAATCTTGATTTATCCGTGAAGAACATCCTATTTTGCAACACCCAATTAAGAAAATCGCGAGCGAAGTGTAAACGTTACCTCCGATGTTCTGCTGTTAATAGATGTCCCGTTACAGGTACTCTGGACCTTAATCCTTTTTCATTTAAGCGTCTTCGAACGGTATAAAATAAACGGAAACTGTGTTTCAATGGACATCATTTAATTGTGGAATAAGTACTGGTGCTGATAATGTGTGATCACGTAGCTCTTACAATCTAAAAAAAATGATCTTCAACTTGAGTTGCGATCCTTCGTCTACCTTGACCTGGCCTACTGGTGTATTGTCCTGTTTCCCGAAACCTTCGAGAAATTCCTAAAGCCGTTGCGATGTAACGAATGCTCCGTTCATCACCCTCTAAATCAATAACTCGTGCTACTTCTTCTAAAATCATCATAATTTATTTTTTTTAAATCATGAATGTGTTGCTTGTGTGAGTCCATATCAAATAGTAAAGAAATAATAATAAGACTTACTCACAATCAATTTAATTTAACAATCTGACGACCGGTTTCGCTTTCTACAATTTGCAAAGCATCTTCAGGTCGAGATACAAAGTTAAACTAATGCTGCAATAAAATAAACCCAATTAGGGTGGTGTCTCATAAAGATAAAATAAACAAATAAATTAGTTCATACAAATTATAGTAATTATGCCAATATTACATGTCTGTGGTTTTCAAAATGAATAATTTGAATATATAAAAGGTATTAACAGACAAGGTAAGGCCCACAATTGGTATAAAGTAGCAATCTTATATTGTAATAAATTAATAAATGAGCAAATAAATAAAACAAAACAAAACAAACATTACTTACATGCCGGTACTCTATTAATTGATGGATGGTAGGTCATGCTTGCAAAAATCATGTATTGTTGATTGGAGAACTTTAATGTGCTATTGCAGTTGTTTTGACAATAAACGGGAAGTTCTTGAGGAGAACAGATTTGATCCAATGAATTAGAGATAGGTATATTGTTGTTGTTTGTCAGATGAAAGTGATGTTCTTTACTATTGTATTATTTAAATTATTTACACTTATATCAGAGATATATTTTTTGGAATGTGTGTTATTTATTGAGTATTTATGTTTGGAATATTTATGAAGGAGACAGTTTTATGACAAAAATAAAACTGTCTCCTTCATTACATAAATACTCAATAAATAACACACATTCCAAAAAATATATCTCTGATATAAGTGTAAATAATTTAAATAATACAATAGTAAAGAACATCACTTTCATCTGACAAACAACAACAATATACCTATCTCTAATTCATTGGATCAAATCTGTTCTCCTCAAGAACTTCCCGTTTATTGTCAAAACAACTGCAATAGCACATTAAAGTTCTCCAATCAACAATACATGATTTTTGCAAGCATGACCTACCATCCATCAATTAATAGAGTACCGGCATGTAAGTAATGTTTGTTTTGTTTTGTTTTATTTATTTGCTCATTTATTAATTTATTACAATATAAGATTGCTACTTTATACCAATTGTGGGCCTTACCTTGTCTGTTAATACCTTTTATATATTCAAATTATTCATTTTGAAAACCACAGACATGTAATATTGGCATAATTACTATAATTTGTATGAACTAATTTATTTGTTTATTTTATCTTTATGAGACACCACCCTAATTGGGTTTATTTTATTGCAGCATTAGTTTAACTTTGTATCTCGACCTGAAGATGCTTTGCAAATTGTAGAAAGCGAAACCGGTCGTCAGATTGTTAAATTAAATTGATTGTGAGTAAGTCTTATTATTATTTCTTTACCTATTATTTTTTTTATTTTGAAAAGTAGAAAACAAAAAAAAAACTGAAGCCAAACTTGCAAACACTTAGAATAAACTTCAAATAACGCTGTTCAATTTAATACACTATTTCACATCATCACAAAAAGTTTGTGTAGAATGGTTATTGTTCGCAAAAATTATCTAAACCGCTTCAAACAATACAAAAATTTTATCGCTAATATGGCATAAAATAGAAAGAACTAAATACGTTTTTGTCTAAAAACGAACAAATATATAAAAAAACTGAATGTCCGGTTAATTTTTCACTCCAGTGTATATGAAAATAAGTGATAGATTAAATAGTTACTTGATGGAAATTCATTTTATCTAACAATAAAACACTGAAAACTTTTTTTAAACTTCCACAAAAGTATTATATTTTTTTATCACTACAGCTGTTTCGGCCGAGTGCCTTTCTCAAGTGATCTATTTTTGGTATGCATTTACACTTTATAGTCTTTAACTGAATGAGTTAAGCAGGGGAGAACTGTTTGTCTCAAGTTGGTAATTCAGATTATGTCTGTATTTTTAATTTGTTAATTTTCATAGATTCTATTAAAGATAGCTTAAGGCCTTTATTTTGAATGTGAATAATTTGAAATTCGTCATTAAAATATTGATTGTCGTCTATAAGGTAAAGTGTGTACATAGAATCTGTTTTTCTATTATTTAAAGCCCTTTTGTGCTCTGCTATACGTTTGTTAAAAGGTCTACCAGTTTGAACAATCTAAATTTTTAGGCAGTCGCTACATTTAAATTTGTATACACCACTGTGTAAGTACTCTTTGTTTTGGCTCTTGTTGTTCTTAATATATTTGGATAAATTGTTGTTTGTTCTAAAAGCTGGTGTTATTCTTTTCTTTTTAATGTGTTTGGCTATTTTTGTTGATACCTTGCCTGTATATGTAATAAAGCGGCACGTACTGGGATTTTTTCTATCTGTAGTGATAAATAATTATAATAAACTTTGTGAAAGTTTTGAAAACAACAGTTTTCAGTGTTTTTTTATTAGATATATCAAAATTTTGTTGTCTTTTGACAGTTTTGAGTTATTAAGGTAAAGTAGAGTTTTTTTGGTAATTCCATCAGGATTATTACGGTAATTATGTCATACACAAGGAAAGACTTGTTTGATTTTAAACTAGCATGGATGATATCATTGACATCGTTCAATATAGAATTTTCGAGAGAAATTTTAAGCTAGTAGTGAGATTTTAGGTAAAGTTGGATTTTTTATCTATGTTAAGATGTAAATCTGTAGGATACGGTTGGAAAACTCTTTTAAGATGTTTAGAAACAGTTTCAGATTTCTGTTTATTACTTTTTGCCCATCCGCCATCTTCGGTGCGGATAGTGGATTAGGGAGTTAAGGATGTTCTATTTGTCTGACTGCTTTCCAGAGTGAATACTCGGTAGCTTCCATAGGAGTAAGATAACTTAGATACGTATGTATGCAATTATTTTTGTGTTTATTTAAATATGTTTTTGTATGTGCTACAGCTCTATTCAGAACACTACACTCTACTAACGAACTACTAAATCACTATTTAAAATAATTAATTAAAGCAATCAACACTCTACACTCTACGAACAAACTGCTTAAGCACGATTCAAAATAATTAAATTACGGAAAACAACACTCTACACTCTGCTAACGAACTGCTACCCAACTAAAACGCTTCTGGTATGCTTCAGCGCAGGCATCCGGTCTATTGTAAAAAAAAATGGACCAAACGCCGCAGCATTTAAAGCGTCCTACAATATATATGTCGCCGCTCTTACTATATTTCCGTTACAATATTCCTTCTATCTTGTCACTAGTTGTTAGTCAATGGTACATATATCTTGTACTTTTTTTGTATTTTGTCCAAAATTGTTTTTTGTTAATTTTAACAAAATTTCTAACAGATAACGATAACGAATTGAATGTGTAAAAATAAACACCTGAGAATGAGAATAGAATTGAATCTAAAATTTTCTAATTGACCATGAACAAATATTTAAATTGGCTTTTAAACCGATCCGAAAAATGTCACTAGAAAAATACCTTTATTTTAAACAACATTTTCGGGACTCAATGCTAAAATTGCTAATAGCAATTTTTTGTACGTTGTTAAAAACATTGTCTTTTATTAATTTCGGCTAAATTTCTAAATTATGAGAAGTGACTGTAAAAATAGTCACCTGCGTTTGCCAAATAGATCATGAAAAAGTATTTCAATCAGCTTTTGAACTGACACGAAATATGTCACTAGAAAAATACCTTTATTTTAAACAAAATTTTCGCGCTTCAGTGCTAAATCTGCTTATAGCCTGGTCTATTTTTAACTAGACTTATATTTTGACGAGTTGTGCAACACTAATGATGTTCTAACAGTGTTTCAAGTGCAATAATTACAATTTTTTTAAAGGTGTGTGGCGGAATTGTAGTGTCTTGTTTTGGTGAAAGTTTTGTTAAACTATTTAACAAAAAAAATTGTTAAATCCTTAAAATATGTGTGAAAACGTGAACAACGGAGTTTTAATATCTAAAGATAAAACTTTGCCAAGTATATCTCCTAAAAATAAAATGTGGATTTATTACGTTTGTAAAAATTGAATTAATCCACGAAATACCCGTTGTGCGTCTAGAAAATGGCACATTCAGACGCAAATCTTGAGATTCAAGTATGCTATCCAAATGAATCCCAAATAAAATATAATGAAATTGATGTTTATGTGTCAAAATACGACATTAATATAGAAATGGTAAAGTTCTTTTCATTTCTAAATGTCGCAATTCCCTTAGTGGTACTGTGGTATTTTATTAATTATAAAGGAAAGGTCCAAAAGAGAAAAATCGATAAAGTTGAGATTCAACCTGTTCAATTTAAGGAAGAATGTTTGCCGAAACAGGTGCTATGGAAACCTTCAGGAAGATGTCAATCGTTGTACACAATGAAACTGTGAGTAAATGTAAATGTTTTTATTATATTTACGAAATGGTAAATGGTAAAAAGTTAAATTTAGAAGATAAAGTGTTAAAATAGTGCATTTCAACATTTTTACGAATTTCCTTCCTTATGTTTTAAGCTCTTCATCATCAAATTAAAATCGTCTTTAACATATTTTACATAATAATATTGTATTCTGTCCCTTCCTAAACAATTTAGGGATCGTTAATATTTTCCTGTTATTGTTTTTAGTAAATACATTACATAACTCAACAGTTCGAATATTTAGTTTTTCTACATTGTACATGTCTGACTGTTTTTGTGTTTAAGTTTAACTTTAATTTTCTGTCGTATTTATTGTTACTGTAAAAATGTTATATCATCACTAGTATTATTAATGCGGTTAATTTTTGAGCCTCTAATTAGATGCAGACATAATTCTATACCGTCTGGAGTAATCACAAGATTGGCAATAATTATGGAAAAAAATTATTTGTTTTTTTATAAAATGTTCGTAGATCCAACCCAACTCACGACAAAGAAATCATCGTCAACAATGTCACTACAACTTGTTATGAGCCAAAGTCTTTTTCAGAACAGTCCTCAATTTCTTCCTGTCTCGAACAACTCTTCATCGTCCTTTAACTACTATAGATTTTATGTCATCCTCTAAGTTGTACGGGGACCTTCATTTCCGTCTTCCTCAGGTTCATCGTTCCTCTTCATGGGTTTAAACATAAATATAAATGTACATGGTGATTTACGCAAGTCTAGCATAGTTCATAATCTTTATTTTGAATGAAAAACCCTGTATATTTTTGTAAAAGCAATATAAGAAGACCAGTTAATAATTAGGCGATGATCAGTGGGCATCAAACAATTTTTGTAACTTAAAATTTAATTCCAATCACTTGAAAAGTAAATTATTTAATTTCATATATTTTATGTTCAGTAAGAATGTTTGTATGGTGTATCGGAGAATCCTACAAATAAGTTGGGTGGATAGAATTCGTAACGAAGTTGGTTTGCATCGGATGGGAAAAATTACGGAAGTCGTCAAAACAGTTTAAAAATCGCAAACTTGAATATTTTGGCCATGTTATGCGCCCGCCAGAGAGATATAATATACTCCATTTAATAATACAACGCAAGGTAAAATAAAGAAGCAGGACAGGTCGAAGAAGAACGTCATGGCTTAGAAACCTGAGAGATTGGTTTAACAGATCCTCTGCATCTCTTTTCCGAGCTGCCGTCAACAAAATTACTATAGCCATTTTGATAGCCAACGCTCGATAATCCAGGTCATCACATGAAGAAGAAGAATGTTTGATTTTGTTCTGTTAAAAGCAAATAAAATGGATATAATATTTATATATATTTTATTACACACAGTAAAATTTGTTTTATTAATGGCATTTTAAATATAGTAATCATTCGGTTTACTGTACTATACTACAACTCTCTATATAATATAATCTCTCTCCTATGGCACTACAGCCCACGTCAGGCCATGTCCTCTTCCAGCATCCACCTTCTAGCATCCCTTTCCTTGGCTACTCTCCTCCTGTTATCCACCCTCATTATTTCTTTATCATCGGTTCTTCATTCGTCTATTCACCACTTCCTTGGATTTTCTACTGACCGACGTCCCACCAGAGTTCCACTAAGTGTTCTAAGCTCCTACTAGGTGTTCTACTACTATCTAGTCATATAACGTGGCCTGCCTAGCGCAATCTTAGTATTTTTACATAATTTGCTATAGAAGATACTTTGGTATCTTGATATGACTCATGGTTGAACGTAATTCTTCACATACCATTGTCGTAGATGGGCCCCAATATTCTTCTCAATAACTTTCTTTCAAAAGTATTATGGTTTATTGTTTTTTGTGTCATAATTCATGTTTCCGCGCCATATGTTGCCATATGTTGCATTTTCTTTAAGCTCACTTTTTTAAGGGACCATTTCTCCTTTCCTCGTTGGCCCTGACCCTACCTTCCACTGGGGTTCATTACCCAATCTCCAGTAAGGTTGCTCAGGTTTGCCGGAGGTCACTCGTGAATTCCAGCAAACATAAATTCACCCCTCTAAACATAAAAATATACAGGGTATTTTAATAAAAATAAAGATTATGGAACATGTACACTTGCGTGAATCACCGTGTACTTTTAAATTTATGTACATTTAAATAATTTTTATTATATAAACCCAGTACATTTAAATAATTTTATTCCATAAGTGATCTCCACACTGTATAATATTGGTTTCATCTATTTTCCTATAATTATTGCCATCTCGGTATTACTTGTACGCGCTTTAATAATTTTATTAATTAATATTTAATGTTGTCTTGATTTTTCTTCTGGCAGGTCATATAGAATATTAAAAATCTTCAAATCTACCAAATTATTTCAGTAAATATTTACGTTCTAGTTTTTATATCAGTTAGTCGTGAGTGTAGTGTTGTAGACCGAAAAAGATATTGGATAATTATCTAGAAAATCAATAATACGCACATAAACTCAATTTTATACGCATGCAAAAATGGACATTTTTACTTGGGATGTAAAAGAGAATTATGGATTCTCTGTAGTTGAGCCGCAAAAATTGATTGTTGCGTTTCCAAAAGTTGACGCAATAGATTTCTTTCTCCGGAAATTTCTATTTTTTATGTAATATTTGTTGTTTATTGTATTAATTATGAAGTAATAAAACTTTAAAAGACATATGGTATGACTGAAGAGAAGATTTAGATTTTGCGTAGATCGTGAGACTCATATTCGGAAATTTCATAATTACAGAATAAACTTGTTTTCAACTACTACATAGAGGTAATTCGCGATGGATAATTTAAAGATTTCTATTATAGTAAGTGTACAAAAAAGCGTGTACATATGTGAAATTATGAATATAATTTCAGTGTATTAGGATTGTATGACATAGGGCTGGTTCAAATAAATTTGGATAAGTAGTAAAGGGTTATACAGATTATAGCGATTTAGTTTATACAAAGTCTTACCAATTCTTCTTCTGCACACACATTCGCAATATTTTCAGTGTCAGTGTCTCGCGGTACTAACACTGAGATTACGAGATAGAGCACATTTGCGTCTGTATACGATTTAAAACAGTATTTGCGATATTTTTCGCGTAACTATAAGCAGAAGAGAGAGAATATCTGTTAGCGGCAGTCAACAGTATAGAGAATACCTCTGTTGCTAACGATAGTCAACAGGGCAGAGAGAGCGTCTGTTCACAGCGATAGGTAACAGACAAGAAAAGATAGTACGTCTGCTGCTAGCGTGACTCAGCAGACGAGAGAGAGAGAGCGAATGTTTCTCTCGATAGGCAATAGGCAAGAGAAGGCCTTCTTGTTTGCTATTTTAAAACTGTCTGTATTTTTAAAGGAGGGAGGTTGGCAATGGCAGTAGAAAGTATTATCGAGGGTTGGACCAAGGTAATGATTGTAAAATTATGGTAGAATGATAGTAATACAGCGAAAAAATGACATGATTTTTCGCTTTTTATATATTGATTGGAATTTATCCAATAATGATTTCCAATCCGAGATCAATAGGTCATCCAGTATATCACCATCCCAGTCTAAGGACAATGACCAGAGACGTTGTCAGAAAGATTTAGAGTGTACTCTAAAAGATAAGAGTTGGTATTCCAACTTCAAATAGTTGGAGAAGAGACTATAATCTCATCCAAATCCACTCTCTAACGACCTTCTGAGCCCCTCCCCCCTTCCTAGTTGGTTCGAAAACTAAAAAGTTGGGATCCACCGTTGAAAGCTAGATAGAAAATACTCCTTTTTGTATCAAAATCAGAAATTATTTGGTAATGTAAACTAAATAGAGGTAAAGACGGCTTACGATTAGATGTAGCTCCCACTATGTCATTATTTTCTATTTTTTTTTTCTATTCTTTTTCAACGGATTGCAATAAATAAATGAAGTTAAAAAAATTTGATTACTCACGAGTTTTGGTGAGAGCCGCCATAGATACTTTCTTTTGACTATGATACCAAATTGACGTTTTCCGAGTTTCACCAACATTATAAAAAAATGGATTAATTGTTAATATTTGTTAAATATGCTTTACAAAATTTATAAATTTCCTTTATAATATCCACAAACTCAGTTCTCTCATGGAAGAATTTACCTATCGGTATAATCTTTATTTTTTACTCTTTTGGGTTTTTACTTTTAAAATAATATACTTTTAAAAGTTATATTGTAATTATTAACTTACACAAAATCATATTATATTAAAACCGATTGATATTTTTTCTTTCAGCTCGCCTTCGAAAGACACAAGTCTTTTAGATTTAGATGATATACAAAAAATTCGATATATAGAAAATCGGGAAAGTCAAGAGGATGAAAAAGACTATAATACTGGTGGGTACATGCCTATCAATATTGGAGATATTCTTAAAGGACAATACAAAGTTTGTAGAAAACTTGGATGGGGACATTTTTCTACAGTTTGGTTGTGTCAGAATTTATTAAATGAGTAAGTAATATTACTTGGTATTTTACTGTACTATATCGCACTATATATATATATATATATATATATATATATATATATATAATATATATATATATATATATATATATATAAATAGAGTGGTGTGTAACGACGCTAAGAATACAATTCTTTGGAGGGTAACTTTCGGGAAAGCGTCAAAACAAGGATCAGCTAGAGATGGTATAAGCCAGCTTGGTGTAGAACTTTATTCTATATGTGAAATTTTCGGTGATATGTTGTCACCTTCATCAGCACCTAAATGGAAAACCTATTATAGTACAGTGGTGGAAATCAACATTTAAAAACCTACATTGAAAATGTTCAGTTGGTCCTAGTTGTAAAAAACACTGTCACAAACATGTTAAAAATATTAAAAAATACATTTAAAATTTTGAATAAAAACATTACAAACAACAGGGTAGTTTTTCAAATACAAACACAACAAAAAATCTAAAATTTACAACCTACAAAAACTACAAATAGAAAAGAAGAATTAATCTTCTTTTTTGATGACATATTTCTGTCAACATCCGGGTGTCATATGTAACGAGGTTATAATTTTCACTTTTGCACATCACAACCACATGGATACGAAAAGAAAGAGCCCTAGGCAACATAATAAGCAAGGAAATAAAGTCCCCTCTAAAGCACAGGTAGGTAATCTATGCATGTCATGATAAGTTCCCCACATTTTCCAGTTTGTTACTTCTTGTCAAGTCCTGTTGAAGTAGAAAGGAATAAATACAACTTAAGTTTTCAACATCTTTCTTACAGTTCATAGGAGAGCTGCAGTTATGGATGTAGCACATTTCTATGAAGTTTCTCTTAAATTGGTTGTCAACCCTCTTTAGTACTTGCACATTTTCATAGTTAGCAGTGTGTCCAGTATTCTTAATATGTTGGCTAAAGGCTGTGCTGGTGGGCTTCCTCACAACATCACTCCTGTGCAAAGCTATTCTTTTTGAGAGTTTCTGGCTGGTTTGACCGACATACACTTCTGAACAAGAACCACATGGAATAGAATACACTACATTGAAGTTATCCAGTTTTTTAACTCTTTCTGTCAGGTGAGTAAAGTATGTCCCTAATCTTTTGTAAACAGAATTTGCTATCACTATGTTGAACTGTCTGAAAAGGTTTGTGATCTGTGGTGATAAACCTTTGATGTAAGGCAATCTCCCATAGAACACTTCTACTATTTCTCCTTCTATCATTAGACAACCTTCTATCATTATCAAAGACAAACATTAGAAGGAGAAATAGTAAAGTGTTCTATGGGAGATTGCCTTACATCAAAGGTTTATCACCACAGATCACAAACCTTTTCAGACAGTTCAACATAGTGATAGCAAATTCTGTTTACAAAAGATTAGGGACATACTTTACTCACCTGACAGAAAGAGTTAAAAAACTGGATAACTTCAATGTAGTGTATTCTATTCCATGTGGTTCTTGTTCAGAAGTGTATGTCGGTCAAACCAGCCAGAAACTCTCAAAAAGAATAGCTTTGCACAGGAGTGATGTTGTGAGGAAGCCCACCAGCACAGCCTTTAGCCAACATATTAAGAATACTGGACACACTGCTAACTATGAAAATGTGCAAGTACTAAAGAGGGTTGACAACCAATTTAAGAGAAACTTCATAGAAATGTGCTACATCCATAACTGCAGCTCTCCTATGAACTGTAAGAAAGATGTTGAAAACTTAAGTTGTATTTATTCCTTTCTACTTCAACAGGACTTGACAAGAAGTAACAAACTGGAAAATGTGGGGAACTTATCATGACATGCATAGATTACCTACCTGTGCTTTAGAGGGGACTTTATTTCCTTGCTTATTATGTTGCCTAGGGCTCTTTCTTTTCGTATCCATGTGGTTGTGATGTGCAAAAGTGAAAATTATAACCTCGTTACATATGACACCCGGATGTTGACAGAAATATGTCATCAAAAAAGAAGATTAATTCTTCTTTTCTATTTGTAGTTTTTGTAGGTTGTAAATTTTAGATTTTTTGTTGTGTTTGTATTTGAAAAACTACCCTGTTGTTTGTAATGTTTTTATTCAAAATTTTAAATGTATTTTTTAATATTTTTAACATGTTTGTGACAGTGTTTTTTACAACTAGGACCAACTGAACATTTTCAATGTAGGTTTTTAAATGTTGATTTCCACCACTGTACTATAATAGGTTTTCCATTTAGGTGCTGATGAAGGTGACAACATATCACCGAAAATTTCACATATAGAATAAAGTTCTACACCAAGCTGGCTTATACCATCTCTAGCTGATCCTTGTTTTGACGCTTTCCCGAAAGTTACCCTCCAAAGAATTATATATATATATATATATATATTATATATATATATATATATATATATATTATATATATATATGTATATATACATATATATACATATATATATATATATAATACATATATATATATATATATATTTATATATATATATATATATATATATATATATAGACGTATATATACAATATGCAAATCACAAGGGTACTTGTGGGAGGGTTATTGGTCACACGCTGGAGTAGAAAAACAAAAAGATCATCATCAGTTCATCTAAAATTAGTTAAATGAGCTAACATCTATAGAGAAAATTGCAACTTACAAAAATTAAGTTCAGAAGCAAGAAAGCTTCAAACTTATACTACATTAATTTTGGAGAGTAGTTATATATACAGGGTGATTGATTAGTGTGAGGAAGCTCAGTAGATTTGTTACAGTAAAAATTACAAAAAAAAATTATAAAGAAAAATTGAAGGCAGCTTTAAACTCCACATTTTAAAATTAGTTACAATCTTACAGCGTGTTCCATAAGATGGTGGCAGACCAAACTTTTGGTTTTTTTAAACGGAACACCCTGTATTTTATTTTAAATTTAAAATCTGCTTCACTTCCATATCACAAAAATGTAAAGTTTTATTACATTTATAATAAAGTTTTATTTATGATATACCAGGTATTTAAAAAGTTATAACCAATATTACCTGAAAATCGTATTCAGTTTAACTCCCTGTATAATCAAAATATAGGAACATTGATTTATTGCAACCATAGTTTTTTAATAATTGTTTAATAACGAAATAATATTCGTTAAATTAAATACAGGGTAAATCAAAATGCGCGTACATTACTTTCTTGGTAATTTTAAATAGAACACCCTGTATTTTATATCAATATCGAAAAGTACTGATATCGTACTTCAAATTTTATGGAGTACTCCCTGTACCTAAAGTTATCAGTTTTCTAGATATTTTTATTTTTCTATCAAAGTATTAATTTGGTAGATATTTTAACGTTTACCAATAATTATTGTGAGTTGGCCATAATTGATTTGTCAGAAACTGACAGTTTGACATTATTGTTTATTAATTCAGTATTGGGGTACACCGTAAATTAGCAACAATTATTATTTAGTAATTCAGTAATTAATTCAATTTAAATTAGCAATAATGAATTTTACTACTGATGAAATAGTAAATATGATCTGGATATTGGGGGAATGCAATAAAAATTCATTACTATCAGCTAGAATTTATCAAGAACGGTTTCCAGATAGGCGGCAGCCTAGACAAGATACTTTTGAAAAATTAAAAGATCGATTTAACCGCACTGGTTCAGTGAATTATGGAAAACATGAACGAACAAAAACTAGTGTGAGAGAGGAAAACGAATTGACTGTGTTGATGGCAGTTGACGAATTGACGAATTGACGAATTGACAGAAAACCCACACAGAAGTATAAGGAGTATTTCCAAAGAACAAGAACTTAATTACTACTCTGTTTAAAACATTCTATCTAAAAACAAGATGCACCCTTATCATATTCAAAAGCACCAAGAATTAAATAATGATGATGTTCAGAAACGAATAGTATTTTGTGAATGGATCTTAGAAATAATTAATGAGTAGAAAGATTTTTTTTTATTATGTCCTATTTGGTGATGAAGCTACATTTTATCGAAACGGTTATGTTAATAGGCATAACTTTCACTACTATTCAACAAGTAATCCATACCACATAGTAACACATAGTCAAATAAGATGGTCTCTAAATGTGTGGGGAGGTATCGTCGGTAACCATATTTTTTAGAAGATAACTTAAATGGTGAGATTTTTTTAGATTTTATCGTAAATCAGTTACCCATATAATTAGAAGAGGTTCCTCTTTATATACGTGAACAAATGTGGTTCTACATGACGGTGTTCCTGTGCACCACAAGGAATTAGTACGTGGTGAACCTAATGATCAGTTTGGTGAAAGATCTCCCCCAAGGTCACCAGAGTTAAATAAAATGGGCTCATTTTTGTGATGTTACGTTAAGAACGAAGTATATAAAATACCTCCAGCAACAAGGGATGATATGAAAAATAGAATCTGAATTGCATTTCAAAATATTTCTTTACAAATGCTTCGTAATGTAAGCAACTCTTTCAATGATCGCTTTCAAGTATGCATATATGTTTTGGGAGGTCATTTTGAACACCTTACTTAAGTAAGATAAGCTTAAATTACTGTTGTTTTTTATTTTTCTGTGTGTTGTTTTTTATTTAATTTTCCGTCGATTATTTTTTATAAATTTTATTTGAAATAAATTGTTTTCTTTTTTGTGTCGTTATTTCGTTACTGAATTAATAAACAGTAATGTCAAACTGTCAGTTTCTGACAAATCAATTATGGCCAACTCACAATAATTATTGGTAAATGTTAAAATATCTACCAAATTAATACGTTGATAGAAAAATAAAAATATCTAGAAAACTGATAACTTTAGGTATAAAGAGTACTTCATAAAATTTGAAGTACGATATTAGTACTTTTCGATGGGTTGTTCTATTTAAAATTACCAAGAAAATAATGTACTTGCATTTTGACTTACCCTGTGTTTGATTTGATAAATAAAATACAGGGTGATCTATTTAAAAAAAAACATAAGTTTGGTCTGCCACTATCT